CTCAAACATGGCGGACACATTTGGTTTAAAAAACATGCTGATGTTTGACTGCAATGTTTACTTATAAAACACAACCTTTCAGAATAAAATTACATTGAGGTTAATGATGGTGAAAAGCTTAGTGCGCCCAGCCGGACGCATTGTTGTATTTTTATTGCCTCATGCACAGAAATGTTGCGTGAGTCCCGCAACACTGCCTTCCTCCACTGTCTGTATGATGACCTTCTACTGTCTTCATGTCCTTCCTCTACTGTCTGTATGACCTTCCTCTTCTGTCTGTATGACATTCCTCTACTGTCTGAAGACCTTCTACCTGTCTATGTCCTTCCCCTACTGTCTGTATGAGGATCACAGACACAGGATATGACCCACCACCCCCACATAGAGAGGGTAAAACCCACCACCCTCACAGAGACAGGATAAACCCCACCACCCCCACATAGAGAGGATAAACCCAACCACCCTCCAATAGAGAGGGTAAACCCCACCACCCTCACAGAGACAGGATAAACCCCACCACCCCCCCAGAGACAGGATAAACCCCACCACCCTCACAGAGACAGGATAAACCCCACCACCCCACAGAGACAGGATAAACCCCACATAGAGAGGGTAAACCCCACCACCCCCACATAGAGAGGGTAGACCCCACCACCCTCACAGAGACAGGATAAATCCCACCACCCTCACGGACAGGATAAACCCCACCACCCCCACATAGAGAGGGTAAACCCCACCACCCTCACAGAGACAGGATAAATCCCACCACCCTCACAGAGACAGGATAAACCCCACCACCCTCACAGAGACAGGATAAACCCCACCACCCCCACATAGAGAGGATAAACCCCACCACCCCCACATAGAGAGGGTAAACCCCACCACCCTCACATAGACAGGATAAACCCCACCACCCCCACATAGAGAGGTCAAACCCCACCACCCCCACATAGAGAGGGTAGACCCCACCACCCTCACAGAGACAGGATAAATCCCACAACCCTCACAGACAGGATAAACCCCACCACCCCCACATAGAGAGGGTAAACCCCACCACCCCCACATAGAGAGGGTAAACCCCACCACCCTCACAGAGACAGGATAAATCCCACCACCCTCACAGAGACAGGATAAATCCCACCACCCTCACAGAGACAGGATAAACCCCACCACCCCCACATAGAGAGGGTAAACCCCACCACCCCCACATAGAGAGGGTAAACCCCACCACCCCCACATAGAGAGGGTAAACCCCACCACCCTCACAGAGACAGGATAAATCCCACCACCCTCACAGAGACAGGATAAACCCCACCACCCTCACAGAGACAGGATAAACCCCACCACCCCCACATAGAGAGGATAAACCCCACCACCCTAACAGAGACAAACCCCAACCCCACTCCCTCACTCCTCTGTTGTCTGTATGAGGACCTTCTTCTGCTGTCTGTATGAAGACCTTCTCCTCTCTTTATGACCTTCCTCTGCTGTCTGCATGATGACCTTCCTCTGCTGTCTGTATGAGGACCTTCCTCTGCTGTCTGTATGAGGACCTTCCTCTGCTGTCTGTATGAGGAGCTTCCTCTGCTGTCTGTATGAGGACCTTCTTCTCTTCTCTTTATGACCTTCCTCTGCTGTCTGTATGAGGAGCTTCCTCTGCTGTCTGTATGAAGACCTTCCTCTGCTGTCTGTATGAGGACCTTCCTCTGCTGTCGGGGCGGTCAGGTAGCCTAGTGATTAAAGCGTTTGCTCGTCACACCGAAGACCCGGGTTCGATTCCCGACATGGGTACAATGTGTGAAGCCCACTTCTGGTGTCCCCCGCTGTGATATTGCTGGAATATTGCTAAAAGCGGCGTAAAACCATACTCACTCACTCACTCCTCTGCTGTCTCTATGATGACCTTCCTCTGCTGTCTGTATGAGGACCTTCTACTGTCTGTATGATGACCTTCTGCTGTCTGTATGGTGACCTTCCTCTTCCGTCTGCATGGTGACCTTCCTCTTCTGCCTGTATGATGACCTTCTACTGTCTGTATGATGACATTTATTGTCCGTATGGCCTACAGTCTGTATGAGGACCTTCTGCTGTCTGTATGGTGACCTTCCTCTTCTGCCTGTATGATGACCTTCCTCTGAGGTCAATATGGTGACAGTCCTGTATTGATTGTACATTTTATTAGCCTTTTCTGACCAGAGTGTATATCTCCTTGTGTCCACTCAGTTTCCAATCAGAGTAATTGGTGGCACAGCGATGTAAGGTGCCACTATTTGCTGGGCAGAGTTACATCCCTAACTTGTATCATGATCTGCTGATTGTAGCTTCAAATACAGGTTCCCCTTCATGATGATCCCAGATATGTTAGCACAATACTCATGGGTTTCCCAGAATTGGTAAATACACTTACATCACTTCAGGACTTCTGCCCCCATTATGCTGATATTCTGTTATATAACCGAAATATGGATATGGATATTGACAAATATTTTTTTAATTTATTAATTTGGGGGGGGGGGTGGGGCAAGGGGTTGTTTGTGTGTTTGTTTGGAACCTACATTAATATTTTGTATTTGAACAACTTCCTTGTTCACAATTTGTTATCTATTAATACGTATCACTAATAATGGTGACCAAAACTTTCCTGTGTGTGCATTCAATGAATACTTAAGCAAATATAGTGGTGTATTTAGACATATGTTCAGTGTGAATATATCACATGTGTAGGTAGTGCTCCCAATTACAGCAGAAGGAAGGGCATTATGGAGTTAAGGAGTTTCTATGTTCTTTCAAACAACATGGTCTTATGTATGTGGAAGTAAAAGTTACTTTAAATACTCACTCATACAGGATGTTTATGAGCTCCCGTACATGAGAACTGGGTTTTACTTTACCTGAGAAGGCTGTTAAACTGTTTCACATTTTGAAGCAGTTGTCGCAAAGGAGATGTTGTAGATCATGACGGTTCAAATTCACAGATTTTGAAAGTTGACTCGTCTGAATTTGAACAAATGGAATTCAAGAAGACATTACTAAAGTAAAGAAGAATGATCAACTAAGGTGATATAGCCATTGAAAAAAAGGTTTATCTAAAGCTTTTCAAAGCATAATGGTTTTGTGTGAAGAGTTTTTGTTGAGAGAGCTAGTGTTCATGATATCTGTTATAGTAAGTCCAGGGTTTACTGCTAGCTTCTGTTGGCTGGAGCCAATGTGAGGTGCAAAACAATTAATCATGATTGTGAATACCTCCCAGGAAAACCCTATATAAACATGGAGGGGGTCTGGCTTCTTCCTGGACTCACAGTTGTTAAGACAACTGTAGATAAAACTGAAATTGCCCTCCCTCAATTAAGTGTAAAGTATAGGTAAAGCATTCATGGTCATATAGGTCCTTGTTTCACCGAGTGTTCCAACGTGTGGAAATTTATTGTTGAAATGTTATGGACATTGTCTTGGTGTTTTTACTACTTGATTATGCTTGAAAGCATAGAAGTTGTTGTGAGACACTTCAGAGTTTGAACAGAAACGACGTGTCTGAGATCCTTTGATGGTTATTAACCCTGAATATTAAGGGATGACTGCATCTGTTGTTATTATGCTCTTTAAGTTATAATTTTAGCTGTAATGACTTCTAGTCTCTCGAAGTATTCTGTAATTAGCATTATTCAATGTCAGTGTATAATGACAAGAGTCACAAGTACTTAATGCTTTGCTGCATTAGCACCGAACTGTCCCCTCCTCTCTTCAAAACACTGGCCCTGTTTATGAAGCACTGATCCTCCAATTATTTGCCAGTATAAATCAGGTTTCAGTCAATTAAATTTTACATTTTATGTAATTATATCATTAGGATATTGTGTGTGTTTAAAGCATGGTTCAGTAACTGTAAACTTAAAGAGAATCGTTCAGTGTAACTTTATACGTCTTATATGTGAATAAGATTAAAGCTATGTTACAGATTTATAATCACAGTAATGCTCTGTAATTATTGTGCAGGGCTTGAATGTTTGGGAACTATTGCTTATCAATGGAGGTAGAGGACCCCCTCTCTGTATGGGGCCAATTATTCCCAGATGTCATCTTGGCTATTTACATATATTTTGACGTCACTTTATAATGTACATTTAACATTTTATTATGAGACTGGTTACTTATTCCAAGCATATTAATGTTGTAAGATTTGTAAATTGTGTGAATGTGTCCTATGTGGCACAGTTAGATGTACAGTTTCTTCAAACTAGCCACAGGTTCATGTTGGTGGTTGGTGGCACAGTAGCATAGAATTGTGGCACTGCCTGGCAACAACTTTATGAAATACATCATTTGCAATCACTAGGGAGAGGGATTGTCTTCAACATTCTACTTTTGATTTCGGGGGGGGGGGGGGCCGAGGGGCATTTATAAAAAAATCCCCTCTCATCTGTTGAGTGGGAGATTATCTTTAACAGACTATATTTGATTTTCAAAAGGATGGAGTCCAATCCAAATCCTCTCTCAGCAGTGTATGTGTGTGTGTGGTGGGGGGAGGGGGGGGGGGGGGGGGGGGGGGGGATCTGGATCCACCTGAATACCAAGGCTGCAACATATTCATCTGTGCACTTCAATATTAAACTTGTGTCAATACTTATAGTATGACAGTTTGTTTTAATTATCTTTAGAGCAGTATATCTGCAGATTGAATGTATTTCACTTCTTGATGTCTGTTGGTGACCTCCTGTATTGTCTCTGTACAACTGATACCATTCCACTACCTGAACACAGCTGTGGTATTGAGCGACTGATGTAGTTCAACTTGGGTCATACGAGTACATTATGACTAGGAACCTTGCAAACTTACTTCCTTACATGGTGGACCGATTTGAATTAATACAGTATCAAGTTTTTTGGGGGAATTGTCATTTATGCTATATAGACCTTTTATCATAATTAATAGGAATGCACAGGGGGTCTTAATAAGCTGATACATTAAAAACAGGTGTTTTATGGTTATTTATTGTTTTCAGATCAAGGAGAGTACTTGCCATCTCACCTGTATTAAGGTATGTGAATGTGTGCATTGTGGTCTGAGATCAAAGGCTGAAAGTTTTATAAAAGATCTTTCACATGATAAAATTGACATTTTATATGATAAGACATAGTCACTTTCTTATTTCCGTTTGTATATGTCTTATGACCTGTCAGTTTCTATAATGGTGAGATTAAATGTATAAAAACTTGCTATTTACTTAATGACAATGCCCACATAAGAGCCAGTGGCTATTTTTAAATGATGACTTTTATTTGAAAGTATGCGCTTAATATATCATGGTCATGATTCATCATGACAATTTGAAATATGACACATGACTTTAATGAAATCCATCATGATGATATACAAATTATGTCCCCGCTTAAGACAAAGTGTCACTTTTTGTCACAGTATTCATCTGCACTGTGTCCGTACCCCCAAGCCAACCTGCTTGGAATCTGAGAGAGAAACAGCACCGTGTCCTTGTCATTATATGCCTGCCCAAACTATCATAGAAAAAGAGGATTTTATATGGTTTGTCATCAGTAACTGAAGTCATCTGTCAGTCAGTATACTTACTTTCTACAGTCTGGGTATCCAGAGACAATGGTTGATCAAGGGGCACAAGCCAGGGTGTTTAAGGTGTTGCAATTTGCTGTGCAGAATTGTGTCCTTTAGCAGTACCAGAAACCTATTATGTTTCCACATTTTGTCCATACCACCATATTGCAAGGTAAAACAAAAGCAGCTTTAAACTTAACTCACTAACTATGGTTGAGCAGCACCAAACAAAGAATGAACTGTGTGTGTGTTCCACTTTATACTGCATGCAGTGATAATAAGGATATGAGTTATCATGATGTACATCAGAAGCTCTTTCCTTCTGTCCAGATCCCGGTGTTCATATTTATTCGCTTCAGTGTTGCCTTGCGCGTCACCTCTACACACCAAAGGGTAGATCTTTATTTCGACCATTCGAGATGTTTCCTTCTGTCCAGATCCTGGTGTTCCTATCTTGGCTTCCGAGTGGTCTTGTGCTTCACTTCTGTGCACACCAAAAGGGAGATGTTTCCTTCTGTCCAGATCCTGGTGTTCCAATCTTGGCTTCAGAGTGGCCTTGTGTGTCACCACTGTACACACCAAAGGGGAGATGTTTCCTTCTGTCCAGATCCTGGTGTTCCTATCTTGGCTTCAGAGTGGCCTTGTGCTTCACCTCTGTACACACCAAAGGGGAGATGTTTCCTTCTGTCCAGATCCTGGTGTTCCAATCTTGGCTTCAGAGTGGCCTTGTGTGTCACCACTGTACACACCAAAGGGGAGATGTTTCCTTCTGTCCAGATCCTGGTGTTCCTATCTTGGCTTCAGAGTGGCCTTGTGCGTCACTTCTGTACACACCAAAAGGGAGATGTTTCCTTCTGTCCAGATCCTGGTGTTCCTATCTTGGCTTCAGAGTGGTCTTGTGCTTCACTTCTGTACACACCAAAGGGGAGATGTTAATCTCTTGCTTTTGGATGTTAATCTTTGATATTTCCGTACATAAATCATTGATTGTTTGTTTGTTTGTTTGTTTCTAAAGTTGAACTCATTACCAGTGAAGATTAACATATTTTGATACTTTTGATAAACATTTGTCACTTCAGACAAAAAGTATGTGGTTAACAGTGTTTAGTATGTAAGCAAATATATTCTGATGTGGCGATTTTTATGTCTTGATTGTATTCTAAACACTTAGTCAGCTTGCAGTATTTGCAAGTTATTCAAATTATAGTTTGATACTGTCATCATATTTCTGTGTATGCCTTTATAACAAACTGAAGGAAAGTGTCCTTCAGTTTATCTTCAATATATTGTCAAGAGAGCTGTGCATAAGTAGCAGTGAAGGATACACACTTAAGACATTGGATTTCAGGGGAAATGTGAATACGAACGAAGGATGCAAGCATGTTCATATCACGTTCTTATTTAGGTTTTGTCAACCTATCCAAGAATCACATGTGTAAAGCTGTATGAAGGAAAGACTTGAGATGCATCCTTCCCTGGGTGAAAGCTATGACTATGATTGCCTGAAGTAGGTTCTACCAAGCAATTGTCATCATGTTACTCTACTTTAGGATAAAAGTCCCTCTGAGTCTTTGTAAACTGACTTGTTGATTTTTGTGCTGCACATTATGTCTTGTAGATTCATTGCAAACATTATGACAAAGGATCATTCCTCAGTAAAATGCTGTTTTGTTCAATATATGAATGGCCATTGGAACCTGTTGATTCTTTGTCCACAGTTCAGTGGTAAGAATACTGAATATTGATCAAGGACCTCATACATACATACATTCATACAATGGCGATTATAGTCCTATTCTTTAACATTTATGTATGAAAGTCGAAGTTTTAAGATCCTTCTGTGGACCGAACCCAGAGCCTCTGATGCCTGACAGATGGAATCCATGACACTCAAACCATTCTGAAGTCCCAGAACAAGCAGTATCAACTGTAGGTCTCAAGAGATAGGTACAAAATGTCCAATTGGGGATTTTTTTACCATAGCCCTGATAATACATGTATTAAACAATCTGGTCATGCATACACTGAAGTTGACTTTAGTTATATCTTTATTCAGTGATATGGAAAGTCAGAAGGAATGGGTGCATAGTAAGAAAGAAATGTGAACATTAGTGACTTGTAGTGTAACCATAGAGTTCTTGTTAATTTGTGTCATTAAACAATATATCACGTGACTAACCACGGATCCGGGTAGTCCTGTGGGTACCCGGGTCCTACTAAGTACCCACCCGACCCGGGTACCCGAGTTACCGATCTCAGCCCTAACTCCCTGAATACAACCCGACCTCGGCAATGTTGGACAAATTCATTTAATGAACAGGGGGGTTACATTTGGTATTTCCCAGATACCATCACAATTTTCACGCCAATTATCTGTACCTTTTCTCCCAGTACCGATTGTCAAATCTCTCCCACTTTTTAATGTGATCATTCAGTCATTGAGTTCATCTGCATTGCCCAGCTACATCTTTGGGGAGCAAGTCGCTAGACACTTCCCTCTCAAAAATAATGTCGTCCAATTTATGACGTCATCTAGTTGCGAGCGTTTGTTCGAATCTCCAGAAATTATGTCATGATAGAACAGTGTTTTATCTGAAATAAACGCTTCGTTCTTCATTGTTTCTTTGCAATTTATCGTGTGGCTGTCTTATATAATGAGACATGGGTTTAGCTTCCTCCTATAAGGTGAATTCAATCCTGTATATTTTAACATGTGGATCATACATGCCCCAGATCATACCCTGTAAAATCCCTGTTTCACCCAGGTGACAGAACAACATGTAATAGACCATGAACCCATTTAGCTGGTTCACTGTCACATTAATTTAGCATTCTTTTGATAACACAAATAGACAGGTACACAATAAGGTATGAATCATGCTTGTTAAACCTCGGGTACAGGAGATATTTATTTTATCAGCAATCTTTAATGGGCATAGCCTTTCACCTTGTTTGTTAGGGTGCAGTTCTAATTCCTTCTTCAGCTATCAGCTATCTAAAGCTTGTATTATGACTTTTGTGTGATCCTATAAAATTCATTTGTTGTAAAAACTTACCTCTCTGCCAGCTCTAAGATCCCTAGGTATCCCCATTTAAACAAGGGGTAGTTTGTCCTTACTCATGTTTATTCGTTGGCTAAATGGTATGCGACACCTTTTAATTAGCGTCAGAATCATACCTCTAAGTCACAAGGCTTTGAATGCTGTAAAGGTTCTGAAAGATTGACTGAGTTTATGTTACGTAATAGCGCACACTGGCCAGGTTGCCTGTTGCAGGGAGACCCTCTTTTTACAGCAATTTATTACGTTGATATTTTTTAGTTAGTTGCTCTAGGGATGAAACTTGGTACCTTTAGTATTTTAGCACATTTCACTGAAAAAGAATACATTCTTCCTGTTTGGTTGGCTTTTGAAAAATACATTCTGTATCTAAAATAAGATTGATCTTTTCAGTGTATTTCGGGAGAAAAAAATTCATTTAAATATTGCATTATTAATAGGAATTCTAAAAATTAATTTTGTTGATGTTTTTTTAGTATTCAGTATATTAATTCAAACCTAAATTTAACTCTTTGTCTATAACTTCCTTTCAATTAAATCCTGTTTATTCTTAAGCCCTTTATCCTACCTCATGAGGTGCGGAGCAGTGTTGAGTAGGTTGTCGATGACAGACGTGTAAGCATCTTGTGTTTCACGAGGCCCATCATTATCTAAACAGTAAACAAAGTAAATGAGATGTTATACTTTCTGCAAACTAAAGGATATTCTGTTACACAGTCCAGATAGAGGATGTTAACCCATGTCTTGTGTAGACTGACAGTGTGTCCTTGTCTGTTGTGTACAGGTCATCTGTGTGGTAGTGTGTCTTTTGTGTACAGGTCATCTGTGTGACAGTGTGTCTGTTGTATACAGGTCATCTATGTGACAGTGTGTCTGTGTCTGTTGTGTACAGGTCATCTGTGTGACAGTGTGTCCATGTCTGTTGCATACAGGTCATCTGTGTGACAGTATGTCTGTTGTGTACAGGTCATCTGTGTGACAGTGTGTCTTGTGTACAGGTCATCTGTATGACAGTGTGTTGTGCACAGGTCATCTTTGTGACAGTATGTCCATATCTGTTGTGTAAAGGTCATCTGTATGACAGTGTGTCTGTTGTGTACAGGTCATCTCTGTGACAGTGTGTCCATGTCTGTTGCATACAGGTCATCTGTGTGACATTGTGTCTGTTGTGTACAGGTCATCTGTGTGACAATGTGTCTGTTGTGTACAGGTCATCTGTATGACAGTGTGTCTGTTGTGTACAGGTCATCTCTGTGACAGTGTGTCCATGTCTGTTGTGTAAACGTCATCTGTATGACAGTGTGTCTGTGTCTGTTGTGTACAGGTCATCTCTGTGACAGTGTGTCTGTTGTGTACAGGTCATCTGTGTGACAGTGTCTGTTGTGTACAGGTCATCTGTGTGACAGTGTGT